TTAACTCCTATACAACGGACAAGATTTCTTTGCCGTTTTTATAGATAACTAGCTGTCCCGGCAAACGTTGTTTTGGTATATAAATTATTTGTAGAGTAGAAAAAAATGTTTGGGGGGGGGGACCACCCTTAACATTTAGGGGGATGAAAAATAAATGTTGTCCGATTCTCCACCCTGGCCGATATGCACATAGAATATCAAGAAAATCGGTCGAGCCGTTTCCGAGGAGTTCAATTACAAACACCGTGACACGAGAATTTTATACATTAGATGATACGGAACACTCCGTGTGCGAGGCCGACTCGCACTTGGACGGTATTCTTAACTCCATTGGATTGGTGCCAAAGCAACTGTATCCACGCGGATCGAACTTGATATCAAAATGTACGAACAGTCCGTCTTCCCCGAAATCGTTAGGTGGGCGTTATCAACGCGGCCGATTTCCATAATGACTTCGGACGATAATTTTTACCTTTCCGTGACTCAGTCCACACGAAACGTTTCCATTGGGAACGCTCCGAGGGAGGATGAATTTCGTGTATAAAACAGAGCTTCGTACTTGTCGTTATGAGAAAAAAAATCATTTGAACGCATCTTATGATTCCACTTTCTCTATGTATACCTTAGACTCCATAAAGTTTAAATATTTTTTTCCTAAATCACTTGGATTGGTTCACTCTAGAACATGTAAAAATCATTTCAACTTTCTAAACTTTCATATACTTTGGAAAATTTTACCGAAAATCAGTAAGGAACACTATTGCCGTTTAGCATCAATAGCATAGTTCATAGCAATGTGAATTTATTACACAGAAAATCGCACTAATTAATTTCTGACTAAACCTATATACAGGAATCGTTATTTATATCTAGATAAACTTCTAAAAATGAGAACATAATCTTTTTTTCCTTTTTTTTTACCTTTATTCGTTGTAAAATTCCTGAAATCTTACTTTAATTATGTATCGCGATTTTGTAAAACAGGTATTTCCATTTAACTGTGCGTTTATCGACAAATGTATCACGGTCCAACTTCTCCAGATCGATGCACAGCGAATTTACCCTTCTCTGTCTATGAATATTTCAGAGCCAACAAATCGTTATAAGTAAACCTCAGGGTCGATATAGACTGACACTAGGACATGCGAGAGGAAACGCGTTGGAGCCAAAACTCTGGCGAAATAAATCTTTTTTATCACGACCTCACCAGTGCTTGACAATCCTCCAAGATGTCTGTAAGCGGTGATATGAACGTAGACGGTGGACGCCTGAGCTCAGTAAGACAAGAGTGGTAGACTTTAGCCTTTGATTTGTCGCGCTTTGAAATCCCACCGCCCCGTCGTTCAGCCAGATTGATTGATGACTCTCCCGTCAAACTGACGCAGAGTCCGCCAAATGGCTGCGCATCATTCAGTGGCTCGCTGATCCGTAGTGGGGCGGAAACCACTTATGCGACCGCTCTTCGCAACCGGTGACGTCACCGCCTATCAATAGACCGAGCGCACGGTTCGATTAAAAACGTATGTCAGATGAACAGTCAATCACAGCCAAGGCTGAATATTTGCAGCCGCCTTGGCCGATTGGACAAAGTGCACGGAACTGATAAACAGAGGCGTACGAATGGAGATACTCCGGGTGTTCTTGTTCAAAGTTTGATCTAATGAAGGATTTCTACATGATCAGTTGTGATATTTAATAAGTATATTTTATCAACAAATATTGAAACCGATTTCAAATCCAGTTTTCCATTTGATTGAGGGGTACCGTGGTATATCTCCAGAAGCCAAGGTCATTATGAAATGTGGAAACTGAACCGAACCCAATGCAAAAGATTTTTTAAAACCGGTTCATAAAGTTAAAAGTTCTGAAGGAGCAAACATAAAAAATTTGGTGTACTTATTTTACACGTAGGAAGTTATACTTCTTTAGTCACAAAAGTAAAATAACTGAAATCTTTAGTCCCTGTGCCAGTATTCTTCGTTTTCGAAAAATACATAAATGCAAATGATAACGGTTTAATTAAGTAACTTGGAATCGTAGGTAAATGTATGTATGTGTTACACCGTGAAGTTAGTCAAGGTAGATCGCTTTGAAACCAACTTTATCATATCGTCTTTTGGCTGATGGTGTGCGCGGGAATCGTATTAATTCACGCTCATATTTTTTTCCAAACGCGCTAAAAGAAATATACCTTAAAAAATACAACCGAACTAGGAACTTCGTCCTATTTCGAGGTCGGTGGAAAAAGTAGTCCCAGGTTGTGGGATTAAGTAATGAGATGAGACTTTGGTGGAAAATTGATCAGTGACTTAATATACAATTCGAAATTTAAATATTTATAGTGCTAATCTCTGCACTTAAGATTAAACACTTGGGATTGAGTGGGAACACACTTCCGCCGCTTGGGATTCGAACCCACGTCTTCGGGATACGTACCTGGCGCTCTAGCCACTAAGCTAAACGGCTGATTGCCATACCGACGAAAGTCTCAACGTCCTTTATGTACATTATTTTTTAGCATTTCAAGCAATGCTTGGCGCATCCATTGTTATATGCTAGTTTTATAATTGTGGCATATATATACCTGCGGTGCTGTTTTCAATACAAATTGTTTTGATTTGTTGAACTCTCCTAACGTCGAACTCCATAATAAATAGGAAATAACCAAATACGAAATAGTTTGAATTTTTCATAAAATTCCGTGTCGGTATGTAATTAACATTGATATTTTTGAGAATAAAATCTATGTAAAAGTTTATACCATATATCTTTTTTGTTGCTAAACCATGATAAATAAATATATATAGTAAGTGAAAAAATATATTAAGTAACAAAATAAACTAAAAATTATACAAAATTACTACATAAAATATATACGTGACCTGTATCGAATCAAAAGTTGTTCAGCGCGTTTCCCAGATTCTCTCAGCACTGATTGGATTCCTATTATATTTTTAAACCGTACTACATTTAGTAAGTTTTCAAAAGACGCCATATCTGAGAATGAGTTCTTTGTTTATTTGGAAAAATTTATCATGGCAATTATTCCAAAGATTGGCAAAGATAAACAAGAACAAAACATAAATATAACTTTGACTAATAAGGTGATGCAATCAATTGAATGACAGCGGTATTTTCGATAACCTAAAATTGTGAATTACTCTATAAATATATAAGGCTCTATAATATGACAACGAGCAAGTGTATCTTGAATATGTTGGTAAATACGACTGTATTATATAATTAATAACGTTCAGGAAAAAAATATATAAAAAAAATCTTAAAAATGCAGGTTCTAAAATATGATTTCAAATAATCGCCTTTCAGCGGGTTAAAATAGAACTTCCTTGATGCAAGAAGACTCAATTGTTACGTCATTTTTTTAAACAATAAACATTTTTACATGTGCTAAATACTTGTATTTTAATTAAAGACCATGTGTTTTAATATATCTAACAAGAGTTTCCATATTATAAGTCCTCAAAGACTCAAATATTTCAAGTAAAGGGAAGAATCTTTATTTAATATCCAAGTGAAATATATAAAATCAAGGCGACTTTCAAAAGAAACTCCATAGGTTTTATTGTCTTTATTTTTGTTACATTACCTTTGCAATTAAACGTAAATACACAAATAAGCTAGAATACATCGATGTGCATAGCAAACGATTAAATTGTTCCAACGATGATTATTATACCATTTATCACAATAATTTGAAATTTTTCATCACAACACGTTTTGACGATGAAGAACCAATAAATCGGGGAAATCACTAAAAATGTTTCGATTATTGGTTTCTCTGATAATGTATGTGTTATTCTAGTTCATAAAACAGATTTGTAATAAGATATTCTTACTAAAAATTCTTCAGACCAAACCAAATTACTGTATTCATTTACCCCTAGTCTGGTCTTTCCTGCCCCTTCTTGGCCTTTCATCGTCGTGCATATAATACATATAAAATAAATCCCCAACTTCCCTTACGACAAAGCGAGATATTTACAATGTTAGCACGATTTCTAACCACCTCCATGTCTTCGTGTCCTCTTCTCGCGTTTCACGCAAGGGTTCAGTGATAGTACATTTTATACGCGGGCACGCTAAACACATAGTCCAAGGAGGGACCTCTGGATTGGAAGAAATGATTCTCGTAACTATAAACACGCCCTCTGTACCTGCATCAACAATGGGTTCACATTACGTGTCTGGTGATGACGGTGAGGGGAGTTAGGTGATGCGGACAGAAAACAGATGAGTATGGCTGATGATCACGGGACGTTGTTACGCAATGGGGTTCGTTGACCGCGCTCCAATTTTATCCAGCACCAATGTCCGGCACATCGCAGTGCAATAAAACGCATTCTTGACATTTCGCTTAGCGTCACTCTATTTTGGAGCGGACCGCTCCGTTCGCAGCGAATTCCGGACTATTTGAGTTTAACTTTTTGGCTCAGAGCAAGCTACGACTTGCTTATAGAATCGATGAAATCGTTTCACAATTTTTTTCATTTGTGATCGAAGTAAAAGTTTAAAGAAGATCGTTTTGAATATCGAAGAAGAAAAGTGTTGTATACAATGTTAAAACTGTTTGAAAAAATCAATAATTAAAATAACATATTTTTGATATTGCTAATAAAGTGTTATTTTCAAAAATATACATATGAGCCTACGGATCGTTTGGGTTTGACTGATTCATGAGGGAATATGTTTTTGTTAAAGCTCGATATAATGGCGAATAAGTTTTGAATTTAAAAATTTGTGCTGTACATTAGATCGTGATAAATTTCGACATGATATATGAATGTTAGGCGTATTAAAATAAATACATCACTGGCAAAATTAACGGGTTAGATAAACGAATTAAAGGGAACGCATGCGTATTTAACACCGGTTTCGAAACTCCCACAAGTCTCTCGGGTTATTCATACGAATTACAACCATTAATGAGGGCACGCCTTTGTAAAGTTCATGCAGCAGATGTTGGGAAGATGAATACTCACTTTGCCCCGAGAGCGGTCTTGGTGTCGAGAACTTCCACAATGTCCCCAGTTTTGAGGGACACTTCATCGTCAGCCGCCGCTGTGTAATCAGACGGCGCCACTACTACGTCCTCTACCTGAAACAAAACAAAGTAGATCATGTAAACGAACATTATAGAAAATTTTCGGTTCAGAGAAATGGGCATGATAAAAATCTATACACACATTTAAAATAACTCATAGTGGTTACTGTCGTGCTTATAATTTAAAGGGATTTGTTATTACCTTAGGGGGACTTCGGCTACACGTTGACCTAGACCTAGAGAAGGAACTTGAAGAGTAACGTTTGTAACTGGGTGAGTTATCTAAACTACTCATTCTGCTTCTAGTGTTCTCCCTATCGAGCAATACGCCGCTGTAACGTCTACTCCATCCGCCAAATTTAGTTATTCTTTGGGTGTTGCTAATATTGCAGTAGCCCGTAAAGGTTTGCAGGTCTTCGTCGTGGTCATCTACGACCGGACAACTGTACATGCTGAATCGATGTGCCGTAGGTTGACTCAGATTTAGAGCCGAAAAAACATGAAGTGGCTCAAAATGTTTTATGCCACTCTCATCTAGGACAGTGTATGCAATTTGGCCAGTTAACACAGCACGGCTAGCCTCGCGTGGAACCACTGCTTGTAATCCTTTTTTCATAATCAGTAAGGCGCCGCGATGTTTCTTGTGTTGGAATAGAAAATCTTCCATAGCTAGACAATTTTCCGGTTGAAGTAAACTTAATGGAACGTCCTCCGAGGTCATTAATGGCGAATCTTCTGGAATAATCATTAATGCCGCACTTTCTCGCACTAGATCCCGTAGTTTAGGATCGGTGCGAGCCAATTCAGGGCTATTTTCCAATTTTTGAAGTGCCGAATACAAACCAGGAGTTTTGTCGGCTAATTTTCTCATAACCGTTACTCTTTTTAATACGTTCAGAGTCTCAGGATCGTTCGAAAGATCAGCTAAGCTTGTTGGTACTGTAAATTGAGCAGATAGTAGTTTCTTGGCTATTTCGCTCATACCAAGTATTCGAGCAAGACCGATCGACTGTGCAATAAGTTCTTTTACGTCTTTGACATCAGCATCTTGAATAATATCGTCCAAAGCCTTCATACTAGTCTCTTGAACGGCAGACACAATCACTTTTTGCAGTGTTTCTGCCGCTTCGTTATCGGTTTTGATGAATGATATGGATTCGGATATATGTTTTAAAACGTGATTCAAAATCGTTGCATCATTCTTAGAGATGTTTTTGAATGCAGGACCCAAAACTTCATTTTCACTGCTTAAGAAGTCGCTGAACTTCTCTATTATATCTTCTTCTTTCAAGGAATGTTTATATAATGTATTATTTAAAGCGATCTTAATTAATTCTATCTTTGGTTTTGAGGAATTTTCTAAAATTTCCTCTCGAAGTGTTTCTTTACTTTCTTCGGTTTGAAGAATTTTGAACATTGTTGCTACGAAATGTTCGTCAATAGCATTACCCAATATAGTATCGATTGATTTTAATATGAGCTGATATTTTTCCCTACCGTTGTTGTTGTTCACTTCTTCGAATTGTTCAGCAGTAACTAACGCTGCCAAGACAGCTGCAGCAATAGAATTTTTAACGTTTTCTTGATGGGCGTCTTGTTCTTTATCATAATTATTGCATCCCAAATTTTCCATTCGTTTTTTAGCGAATCTTGACTTCTTGTATTCATATTCATTTTTATGATTTTCATGAATTTCAGCCTTAAGGTGAACACTCATTTCTATTATTGATGTAATAACTTCCATCAATTGATTTGCTATATCGTCTTTTAATCCAAAATCTGTTATGAACGCTTTCAATGCTTCAGTGTTCCGAGTATGATTTAAAATAACATTTATTGCAGGTAGATCAGCGGGTACTTGTCTACCAATAGACATGCCAGCTTCTGATAATTGCCGCAACATATTCGTGTCAATCGTAAGCTCACCTTTAGTAGAGGTAGTATCATTTGGATTTGTTTTTACCTTTAAAAGTTTAAGTTCTTCAGGAGTAACCACAAAACTTTGCACAGAGAACTCTAGGCCTTCATCGCCTTCAGTAAGATCAGGGGCGACAAACTTTAGTCCCTCTGGTGTTTGAACTATTTGTCCTGGTACAAAAGTAACGCCGTTATCGTCTGTTTCAATGACTCTGCCTGGGACAAATCTTGGACCTTCTTCTGTATCGACGACTTGCCCAGGTACAAATCTTGACCCTTCATCTTCAGTCCAAATAACTTGACCTGGTATAAAGGTTGGACCAGCTTTTGTTTCAATAATTTGGCCAGGAACAAAGCGCGGACCATCGATTGTGTGAATCGTTTGACCAGGAACGAACTTCGGTCCACTTTTTGTATTTACTACTTGCCCAGGTACAAATTTTGGACCCTCAGCAGTGTCAACTACTTGTCCTGGAACAAACTGCTCGCCATTCTCAGTGTAAACTATTTGTCCTGGTACAAATATCCCTTCGACCATCATCCCGGGTACAAAACGCGACTCATTTATTTCATTCTTAACCAATCTCCCTGGCACCACTTTACCTTCTATTTTAGGCATTCTGGGTCCGGGGATGAATTCAACACTCTTGGCAGTTTGTACCATATGACCAAAAACATATAAAGATTCTTCCGAAAGAGAACAAGTTTTAATGTCTATTGGTAGCCCCATAGGAGATCCTTCTGTGAAATTAATATCTTCAATGGATTTTGCAACTGAAAACTCTACATGACCATCAGCTTGAACAATTGTTTTTCCTGGTAAAAATTTCTCAACGCAATTTGTGTGTACGATTTGTCCTTCAATGAATTTCGGTCCGTCAACAGTTTCCACGGTAGTTCCCGGAACAAATTGTAAGCCACTTTTAGTACTTTTAGTTATACCCGGCACAAAACACGGTTCACCATTACTGACAACAGTCTGACCAGGTACAAATTTTAAGCCATTTGGAGTTGCTAAAGTTGCTCCAGGGACAAAATGCAATTCATCATCCTGATGTACAACCTGGCCTGGAACAAATTGCCACTCATTATTTATTTTAGCATTTTGTCCTGGAGTGAAAATAATTTCACCATTATCTGTAATAGTTTGTCCGGGAATAAACTGTACTCCTTCTGGTGTCATAATTGTTTGTCCTGGGACAAATATTTCTTCAGATCCATTATTGATTGTTTTACCCGGCACAAACTTAAAGCCTTCTTCTGACAACACCGTTTGTCCTTCAACAAAACGGTACGTTTCCTTATTTTTTATTGTTTGGCCAGTTACGAATTCTTCGCCATTTGTAGTTTTTAAAACTTGTCCAGCAAGAAAAATGGGTTCTTGTTTATTTTCTGTATTTAAAATATGACCGGGAATGAGGCCAGGTCCGGCGGGTGTATTCACGCTTAAACCTGGGACGAAAATTGGTCCAACTGGAGTGTCTACGGTCTGACCTGGTATAAAAACAGTTCCTTGGGGTGTACTTATATGTTGACCGGGAATAAAGGTTTTAGCTTTATTGATATCCAAAGTTAACCCTGATATCTTAGCAATTTTTTCCCTTTTTCCTTTCTTTATATTCTTTACGACGTCCGGCAAAATATCTAATGTGGGCAACAAATTAACTTTATTATCTTCAAATAGTTTTTCTATAACATCCGATGTTTCAACTAAGCGCTCCGGGGAAATGTCTTTAACAGCTTGTAATATAGCTTCCGAAGGCCGAGCAGTAACTGTCTTTAAAGGATTAACACATGGAACATTTTCCATTGAAATTGTCACTTCATTAATATTTCTGTCAACTTGGTAAATTTCTGCGTCGCAATGATGAGGTGTTATTTTAACAGGAACGGGTAATACCGTAGTTTTAGGTATGAACTGTTCATCATTTATTTCTTCTTTTTCAAACACTTCCCAGTCCCAGGTCTCCATCAAAGGGTGTACTTGATCCTTCCAGTCACCATTGCACATAACAATACTTTCTTTTGAACGCATATGATTAATATTAAAATTATCACAAGAAAATATTTTTGTGTCATGTCTTTCATGTCTTATTTCTTCTAATTTCGCCTTCTTAGCCAAGCGTTCTTGACGCTGCTTCTCTTCTTCCAGTTCTTGCACCTCTGCGAGTTTCTCTTTAGTTTCAAATATTTTTTTCATCGAAGATAGACCTGCTGCTCTCTTCCTCTTCTTCTTTTTTTCTTCTAACTCTTCTTGTTCCCTCTGCCTTAAAACCTCAGCGTTTGGTCCCTCACCTTCATACATTTCAACGTCCTCCGTAAAGTCTTTAAAATCCATTGAAACACTTCGACCCTGCTTTGTTTTTATAAGAACAGTATCTGTGTCCTTTGCGAGCATGACGTCCCTAACATCTCCATCTCGCACTGCCGCTTCCATTCTAGCAGAAAACACCAAACCACAGCGCCTCTCTTGAACCGTGTAAACATATCGCCTTTCTTCTGTAACTTGTTTAGTCATTAACATATCCATCAACGCTTTCTGGGCTTCGGTAGATCCATCCAAAACCGGGAATATGTATCTATAGTCCGGTAAGAGTTCGTGCTTTCTATTGCCATAGTTGATTTCTGGTGCATAATGATGCGGGCCCAGTTCGCCAGCTACGTTGGTTATTTTGCATTTCGTTTTCGACGAGCTGGACACTAAAAGCACTGGAATGTAGTGATGTGTTGGCAGCCCGTAGGACTTCCCGGTGATCCTGCAGCAACGCTTAGCGTCTGCAGGCGAGATGGGAGCGAGAAGCGGGAAATAGTTGGGCTTGGGCAGGCCGCGGCTGCGGCCCGTTATTCTGCAGAACGACATCGTCCCAATCACTGCATCATATTATTTATTTACGAATTAACAAAATTAAATTATTCGAACATTCGTCTCAAGCGGAAATGTGACAGATCGCGGCGCGTGTTGGCACAAGCGTACGGGTCGGAGTTTGCTAGTGGACTGGCAAGCGGCGGTCGCGGCGTGGCTTTTTGGCGTGAGCGATTCGCACCTTAGCGGAGGCAGACGGTGTGCCGTATATTTGTTCCGGTAAGCCGCTATTTATAAACGCAACCGAGACGTATTTATCCCCTACACAAAAAATATTGACACAGATCCATGGGGAAAACAACGCTGCGACGAAGTTTACATTAATTTGTCTTTTCGTGTGAAGATGTAGGAAAAAACGGGGTAAATATTTTTACGAGCGCTCTTACACCTGAAATGCGTAATTTATTGGAGTAAGCGCGAGCAGCGCCAAGTTTTGGGGAGAAATATTAAGATTTACTGCAATTGATTTCTAAAATTGCTGTGCTGATGACAAACGTAGAGCTTAATACTTTGAGATTGCATGTAGAGTGCCGCAAATTTTAAACAATACCGGTCATTTAAAATTAAATATACATTAAATAATGAACGGCTATGTAAAAGTGTTTTTGTTAATGGTTCCGAATTTAAGAAATTAAACTTGTGCAGATACCGAAAATAGAACAGCTGTCATCATGTTGGAATATCTAAGTTAAAATTATCGGTAAAAACTTTAGTTTTTTATACTAGATTCATTTGGCATAATTATTTCACTATAAAAATGTAGAGGCAAGGAAATATTTTCCAAATAAAAGCGTGTTAAAAAGGATTTTAATTCCAACGTTACATCGATCAACAAAACAAATCCCTAAATAACATTTTTTTCACCATCGGGTTCAATAAACAATTCATATGATAAATTGTAAAATAATTTGAATCTTAATTTACACTTACTTTTACAAAACAAACGTATACTACAAACAAATATATACAAAAACTGTACTATTGTCCCTCCATGCAAGTGATGCTCTTGTGAGCAGAGTTAACATATAACCTCGAATCCAGGACCGCGTTTAAATGTATTTTTAAACAGCATCCAATCTGCGAACCTTCAAGCTTAAGCGGGCGTGAAGGGGGACGTTTATTTTCGAACAGCCCGAGCTTTTTTTAATTCGTCCCCAAGAATAGTTCCCGCTGGGGAAATGATGATATATGAATAAGCTAATCAATTTATTTAAGTTTCATATAGATTTGAGAAAACAGAGGTTGCAAGCGAAATGGTCATTCACCTGATGTTAAGTGATAACCACCCCCCATGAACATATACGACACCCATAGGTTACAAATACGTTAACCACTCAATATAGTAGGGCCCCGGTTACCTCACTCACCAGACGAAACGTCAACTTCACACCAGTCTTCCGAGCGGTCGTGGACGGACCTGCTCATTCGTGCAACAGCCGAAACTGTTGCCTGGCCCTACCACAGTTGTGTTTTTTTTTCACAAAGCTGTTAAGATTTTTTTATATATTAACTGTCTTACCACACAATAGTTCGCTGTGAGTGAGGTAGCTTTAGCATTTGCCTTTCCTAAACAATCCTAGGTGAAAATAAAAGATTTTTTTCAATCGCAAGGCTTTCGGAGTCGATATCGTTCGGCCCATTGTCATCATCATCATCATCATCATCATCATCATCATTTCACCGTTTGATTCCATTGTCGAACATAGGCCTAGCTCACAGTACGATCCTGAGCCACCTGGATCGATCGACTGTCTGCACACGTGCACAGGCCGTCTCTCCACCTAGTGGGGGGTCGTTGCACACCACGACGGCTAATGACATAAAATTATCAATTTACGAATAACTTGTCGATCTCCACATGCCGTAGGTTATTGCTATAGGCTGAGCACCAATGAACGCGTAATAAATGCGAACTTAGGTAAGTAACTGAAGCATGGCGCTGGGACTTAGACACTTCTGGCTCCTTCGCTAAAATGTTACATTTTGTAACCAAAGAGTATGTATCTAGGAGTACTTGAATCATTTACGAAATTCGTAATGAGGTCAATAGCATATCCGTTATTTCGACACGAAGCCGGTTCGAAACGGCAGTTCCAAACGGTTCTATTTTAACCATTAATCCGATGCACGTCAACGGTCAAAATAGAACCCGAAACGTTTTGCCACTGCTTTACGCAACCAATCCGTAACCTTTGATCCAGAAGTTTCGCAGCACCCATACTCTTGGGACGTATACAAAGAAAACAGATTCGCTTTAAAAAGCCCACCGTATAGCGCAAATAGAGATGAAAGGGCTACGTATATGACCTTGAAATACAAATATAACCGAGTGTCTCAAATATCAATTCTTTGATGTTACCATAGTACTTAAGTAATAGTACTACCTTCAAATGTCGAAATTAGAATTTTTGTAAATTTATTGCCATATGAAATTATTCTTACACTTGTAGAACACTAGTGAATAATCAGGCTATACCTTTTCCGAGAAGGCAAGTGTGATTAAGGAGTATCACTCTATGATAATCTTGTTTTGTTCGTAAGTGCGGTGAAACTTCACCATGTCAAAAACCGATAACGCATACGATTCCTAGGGTGTCATATGTCCACGGTTGGAAGCCATCACCAAGATCACTTTTCATCACCTAAACCGTCTACAATATGTACTTCGGTATAAAAAAAAACATAAGCCAAAGGACCTCTTTTCCCGTCGTAGTAAATGTTACATTTTGTAATTCCATGTTGCAGCACTAATCCATTGTTTGGTACCATTGGCATTGGTTTGATTTACACGGCGGCGAAAAACTTTTCGTCCATTTTTTTATTTCTACAAATATTTATGTTACACCCATTCGGCATGAATATACACAATTGGAGAAATATATTTATATTTTTTCCCCTCTTTATATATTTTTTCGTAAACTTTAAAGGTAAGTCCTTTTTACTGCAGTGAACAATATGTTGTAGACTACGGCGTATGGAAATAACTATTGAATGCCTCCTAATAATGAAAAAATTTAATTTACACTATAAATATTATAATTTTGAATGAAAATAACTTGTATTTAAATAAATAATACTAAAAAAGATTACTACAATAGGAGAAGTACATTGTAATAAGTTTGGTAGTTCCAGACACAACCCATTATACACGAAGAATCGTAAACGAATTTCATGACTTTATAGCTTAAACTAATGGAAGTGAACATTGAAAAGACGAAAATAATACGTCGACCCCAGTGGGACATTCACTTTGGCGGTTATTTCGTAACACGCGCTCGCTAAATAAGCATCACAAATGAGATGCTTTAAGAGAGATCTCAAGAAAGGAACACAAACAAACTCTGCCGACTCAACGCGTGTGCAAGCAATGTTGAACATATCAAAGACACCTGTTGAGAGGTTTTTTTTCTTCAAAATCTTCCCCGCCACTGCCGACGCGAATTGAATAACGGTGTGTGGCATCGCACGTTTTATGATTTCGCGTTGAGGAAAGTCGCTCGGAAACGATTCCTAGAATTGGAGACACTTAAAAGCTCACACATTTTGTGAATGGTGCATTTACATAGACTTCAGATGATTCACCACCAATTTTTCCCCGAAGTAAAAAAGGATAATCACTATTTGTTCGATGACTTCCGATATAATATTTATGTTGCAATGAATACAAACACATGAAAACAAAATCACGGACACGACAATACAGCTACACTATACAGCTACACAATACAGCTACACTCGGAATGTTTGTTTTTGGTTTTGGCTCGTGTAAAAATCGCAATCCTCATTAAGTTTAATAAATCTATGGCTTCCAACATTTTAGTCATTTGCTTCGATGACCTATTAGAAATGAGGAAAAAATATTTTGATGATGTGGTTGGTCAATTGAATCACGTCAATATCTTAAAATACTTTTAAGACAACGTGGCCAAAAAGCAAGGTTAATATTTTAACAGAATATAATTCAAGTATTTTTCGCAAGATTGACGGTTATCGCAACTACTGATTGTATGGTAAATCTTAACTTTCAAACCATAGTACTTACACTACTACTACAAACATATTCTAATTAAATTATAACAATTCAAAATATTACATTCGTAGATTCTTTTGTTATGCGACTAGCAAGTAGTAAATCAATTTGTGAGCATCCATTATATCACACAATTGCAACGTTTGGAAACACCAAACAAGACTTTTTTATGTAAGATGACAAGCAAGCTGGCGGTCACCTGATGTTTAAGTGAAATTTGCAACCACCAATTTAGGGTTACCAATGCGTTGTCACCTACCAATAAAGAGGGCCCCGGTTACCTCACTCCCCTCGAAACGCAGAAGTATAACACAACCAAATAACGCCGGTCTTCTAGGGAGGTTTTGATACTTCCACGGCCGGACTCGTGCAACCACTGCTGTGTGGTCCTGCCACAGTAGATTTATACGTTCCAACTGTATTAGTAAATCATTTACGTCACCACCACTTCCCATTGTTTCTGTTAGTAGGATAGTATTTAAACTATTCAGTCTGTGATGAAACAATAGTTCATCAGAATAATGTGATAACGGGTTTTAGAGAGAGAACGCCGAACTTATAATGCATCAGACATGATTCTTTGTCCCGTGCAGTTGTAAATTAAATACAGATTCGTGCATCGTCGGGCGACAATCAAAGAGCGGCCGCTGGATAGAATCTAGTGCGTCTATTTGCAGTTTTCTTGGAAGACATATATCCCCCGTCGCTGTGCTTTTAGACGCTTAGATTTCGTGTTTGCAAACCGGTACTAAAAGTGTTGCTAATCTCTCCAATGTTATGATTGTGCCAGTTTGAGTATATGTGATCATTCACTCTCCACGTGGCAACGACTGAACTGATTTAAATGAAACTTGTAGTAGTTTTTTATAGGGTAGAAGATTGATTGATGAATATTAAATCTAAAAAAACTTTTCACTGTGCTGAACCGTTCATCTGATAACAATGAAACTTCTGAGAGCTTTCCGCG